TGCACATGCCAAGTAAAGTTAAAATTATATAATAACATAGAAGTTTAAAGGAATAAAACAAATAGGATAAAATAAATGCATTTAAACAAATAAAACATATAAAAAAACATCAAACAAACCAAAGCCTTCAGTCATACTGAGAAGCAATCAGTTCTCATCAGGTTCTGACTTCATGAAGGGCCTCAATTCAGAGCTGTTCCAATCTGGTGGGTATAAAGTGAAATATTTTAACCCATTTGTTCTAAAACTTACTAAAATTTATCATACCTTTTATGGGAGACTACTGATGGTTCTTAGCTTGCTTATTCCTTGGGTCGGCGGCTCCATCTTAACCATTGAATGGAATCAGTGTTTTGGACCCAGATACCTCCATCCTGATGAGACAATAAAATGTTGCTCCATGTGTTTGCATCCTACCCATCCATCAAGTCGATGAAAACTCTGTGTGCACGTGCTGCTGCCTACGGAAGAGGATTAGGGCCACTGAAAAAATAAAAAAACGTTAACTGATTTTTGAATATCATTTCAGTATAGTATGGGAAAAAAGTCAGAATTCTGACTATTTTCTCAGAATTCTGATTTCAATCTCATAATTTTGGATCTTAATGTAGATGGGCACCATGAAGGAAGAGATGTGGGAGCACTCAGCTTTACTGACTGTGGAAAATTATGGGATTAGGTGACTTTTTACGTGCCTGAAGGGTCCCCGGTGATGCTATTTCATTAATGGAAGAGCAGAAGGTTATTAAAACAAGAGAGCTAGAAGAGAGCAGAAGAATTCTGAGATTAAAGTCAGAATTCTGCCTTTTTTCTCACATTATACTGAAATAAAATAAAAAAAATTAGTTTTCTTTTTCTTTTTTGTTTTCAGTGGCCCTAATCCTCCTCCATAGCTGCCCATGTCCATGTACAGACAGCTATTTGTGCCACTGGAACCGCTTCAACAAAGTGAGCATCCAAGCATCTGCCCCCTCATGTTGGGAGATAATCAGCATATTTTTACTATCTGCAGCTCATTATGGCCGGTACACACTGATTACAGGCTGGATTTATGGAGCTGCGAGGCCGCACTCCCACCTCTGGGTTGGCCAGAACTCTGCTGGAGCGGGATGGAAGTCCTGGCAGAAGCAGACGGCGAGGAGGACGACCAGAGAGTATGGGAAGACAAATAAAAATAGGACAGTGGAGGGCAAACAAAAACATGAAAGCGACTGAGGAAACCTATGGTGAGGTTTTCTTTAAGAGCTTAGTTTGCTTTTCTCTTTCTAAAAGGATTTTATTTGAGTTTCCTGAGGAAAAGATTAGAAACACATAAATCATCTTGTTACCACCAAAGAAGAAGAGTCAGATTTCCAACATAGATAGTGAGATGATGCTGAGGTCAGCGCTGTGAGTCAGAACTACAGCAAATACTGAAAACCTGCTGACTCCCAACAGCCCCATAAACAGCTGGACCAAATGGACCAGAATCTCTGGTTCTACAGGAGTTCAAGCCAACAGCAGAGAAATATTAGAAATGGCTTATTTTCATAAATGTTGGGAATGATGCGTCCTCATGAGGAAAAATGGCCACCATCACAGTACTGGAGGGTCCATGATCAGTTTCCCATTAGTGGACCCGGTACCCATCCCCAGGTCAGGCAGGCTGAGCCAGTCTGCTGTGACCTGCTTCAAATCAGAAACATTTCAACCAGAAAAGCTGAGTATGAATAAAATGCTGTGACACATTTAAACACCAGGGAGGAAATCTGGACATTTTATCAAAAGCAGAGATTCTAGTTCTGAGCAGGCACGGAGTGAGATGGGGGGCCAGGGGTGGCCATGGAATAAAAACATCTGGTGATAAAAAAAGTGAAACTTTGCCTCTAAATTCAATAAACTAAGTCTGAGCACTGATCAGATTCACTTTGGCCTGTTTTTGGCTGGTGAGAAATATCAGCTGTGCTGCTGCTACTAACACCTTTGTTAACAGATGTTGGAGATCAGCCTGTTTTTCCAGTGTAGTCCTGTTTCTCTGACTGTGACTAACTGGATGTGCTCTCTTCATCCTCTGACATTGGAGCTGGCTGGGAGCTCGTCTGCCTGGCCGCCTTTTACAGCTGCTTTTTGTGTCTCTGCTTCTGTCTCCTTGAACCCCAGTCGGCCTCGGCAGATGGCCGCTCACACTGAGCCTGGTTCTGCTGGAGGTTTCTTCCTGTTAAAAGGGAGTTTTTCCTCTCCACTGTTGCTACAAGCATGCTTAGTGTGAGGGATTGCTGAAGAGTCAATGCAATCAACTGGTTTTCCTTAGATAGAAAACTTTGAATCAATCTGACTGGATGATCTGGTGAACTGGAAAGTGTCTTGAGATGACATGTGTAATGAATTGGTGCTATAGAAATAAACTGAACTGAAATTTGGTAAATATTCCAGAACGATAGCATCCTTATTGCTGGTATATAACCCTTTCAAATTGATTAAACAGTGCTGACAGTAACCTTCCTCCACATTAAAATTCATCTACAGAAAGTCTATGCCAGAATTAAACATGAAACACACACAGCCTCTCATTTTTCCAAGATGCTTTAATTACAACAAAGTTTTATGACCGGTTGTCTCCACTAGGTGGCACCAGAACACAGATTGTTTTTTTGTTTTTTACAGCAATTACAACAAACAGTGGAGATAAATTTAAAACGTTGCCTCAGTTCAATTAGAAATAACCATAGATCTAAACACTGCGACACAGAAAGGCTTTAACAGAACATTAAGGAAACAATCATCACTTCTGTTTGGTCCAGCTGTTGGCAGATGTTTGAAGTCAAAGGACGCTCTGACGAATGAAGGCACAGCCAAAGCAGAGGAGAACCGGAGCTCCAGTGCTTGTGGGCTTCCTTTTTTTTTTTGGAATGCATAATATGGAGAATTCTTGAGGATGGGATGGACAGACAATAAATATTGCTCCAACAATATTTATTCCATGCAGAAATTACTGAGTGTTTCATTGTGAAAAGGCCACAAAGCTACAGAATCTGTACTTCTAAGTAAGATTGTAATGCAGATAAAGGTAGACTGGCACCTGGGTGTGCTTCTCTGTTCACTGGTGCTTCATTCTGTCTGCTTCACACTGACAGCATCACCGACAGCCACGCACTTCAAGTAATTTCAGGTATGGAGGATTCAAAAAAGCTACACGATCACAAAAATATACTCGATTAAAAACTCTGAACCATGAGAAGAGGAATTTGGCAGAAGAGATGCTACGTTCCTGTTGTTTTCATGGTTCTTGCATATAGAACGGCACATTTCACTACTGGAAATGCACAAAAGGATTCATGTGACGATTAGAAAAATAAAAGCTAAAATATATGCTCTATTAGTTTTAAATAGTTATAAAATAAGAGGAGTTCTATATGCTTTGGATAGGTCGGGTACGTCTCTGCTCCCTACGGCAAACGTCCACAATGACACATGAGAAATCAGAGGTAAACATCTCTGTGCGTCTGCATCACTCTGCATTCAGATGATGCTGAGCAATGACAGACAAACATGGATGCTGAGTCTAACGGCAAGGAAAAGAAATTAAAAAGAGGTCAAGAATTCTGATTCCAAAAAAATGACAAATATCTTATGGAGGGAGTTTTGTTCCGTTATTGTTCCAAGCAGAGAACACACTTTGTAAATGAAAATTTGAACAATCAGATAAATCCAGAAATTAAAACTTCTGTGAATAAACTTCTGATTTTTAAATTGAATTTGTTCAAACTTTATTTTTTTTTATAAGTTCGAACAAATTTTTGATTTTGTTTTTCAGATTGAGGACTACGAATATGATTCTTTTTCAAATTGTGTTTTCTAGAAGGCTTTTTCTTCACTACTGCCGTGGGCTTTCCTCTGGGCTGAGGAGCAAAGACTCATTTCCACGAGCCAGTTTGGTTGGGCTTGAAGGAAAGAGAATGTAATCTGCAAAAGAATTTTAAAAACTTTCAATTGAAAATGCTAAATCTTAAAAAAAAAAAAAAAAAAAAAAGTTAAATTAGAAAAGAATATGAAAAATAAAAGATTTAATAAAATTTATAGAAACAAAGTTACTCTCAAAACCCTTTTCTGTAATTTCTGGATTAAATTTTTTTTTCTTTAAATTTCCATTTATAAAAGATGTTCTTTGATGGTAACTATAATGAAACAAAATTCACTCCATAATATTGATTATCACATACAATCACTGACAGCCATCTAGAAGAAAAACTATAAAAAGGCCACTTAACAGAAGACCAACATTAATTTAGCAGAGATGTTTCTGTAGTTCCTGTTATTCTGAAGCTAAAGTGGGAATCAGAGTGGAGGAGAGTCTATGGCCCAACCCCTTCATCTGAGAAGATCATTGATCTCTGCTTAATTTAAGGTTAGTGAACATTTACATCTCATTTCAACGGCTTTTCAGATAAACATTCACAGGATGAGGCCCCTTACAATCAGAACCATGACGGTCACAGCTACGCCTACCAATCAGAATACTTCTTTAATCAGTATTAGATCTAGATGGGCTGTTTCCAATGCTTCATCATAGGCTAAAAGCTATGGGGAAGCATTGAAAATAGGAGAACTAATAATTTCCAGGTTCAGCGCCCCTTAAGGCCACTGGAAACATTACACTGCAGAGAGAGAGAAAAAAAAGCTGCTTTAAGTTACTGTGGAAAAAATTATTTCTGTTGTAAAATAATAGCAGTTTAAGAAAATCTAATTTTTCTGTTTTTTTTTTTATATTAATTTTAGCCCAGCTTGTTTCCTGTGTAAACAATCATTGGCTTCTGTTGTTTAAATGGTCCTAAACGGTTATCACCTCTGATCAACTCTATTAATTTCTTGCGGGAAATTCTTTTCTTGAAGTGCAACCGTTTACAGAAGCGAGAAAAATAAGATTTTAAGTAAAATAGAGCAGAATAAAATAAAATAATTGTGATTCTCATCAGGATTTTTTCCAAATTAATATGAATTAGCCTGATCTACTGAAAATTTGTTTTTGGATTAGAATGCAGTGATGATCCGTTTTAAAATAATTTCTGGTGGGAACAAGATCCTGATCCAGGATCAGCAGGCGGCACAGCAACATAAAAATCTGAAACTGGTTTGGTCACTGTGGACCTTCTAAAGTTCTGTTCTAGGTTCATTAATCTAGCTGCTGCTGCTGTTTTTTAACATGGTGATGCTTCCCCATCCAGCTGGCTCACCTGCTCCGAATTAAGGCGCTCCTCAAGGCTGCATCTCAGGACTCCTTTAATTCTCCCTTTGTCCTCTCCTTCTGGGGTCTAATTTTACAAACTAAATTAGTTTTATTGTTTTGCTGATAATCAGGCTATAGCGAAAACAGAATTATTAACTGAGTAGCAGTGAAATCTCTCCTCTATTCGCCCATCGATTCCAGGAGGCTCCGTCTGGTTTAATTATTAGTTTTTATTTTTCTTATCTTCCTATTGTTTTGCTTGCTCTTAATCTTATAGTTTTACAGTAGATTTGTTTTATAAATCATTTCTTTATTCTATTAAATCTGTGTAAAGCATTCTATAAAATAAGGGTTTAGTGTTTATGATGTTCGTGTTAAGAACATGTATTTTCCTCTACTTGTTTACTAATGTTTTTGCTTTTATTTTATTATCTAATTCATGTAATGCACATTGAATTGTCCATGTACTGAATTGTGCTAAACATGTAACCTTGCCTTCTATTAAAGACTATTCATATAAATTCATTTCACGTTTTTTTTTTTTAGTAACTCTAAAGTATAGTTATTAAAACGTATCCTTGAATTCACCGTTTTGTGCTTTATTTTTAGTCGACCAAACTGGCGTTCAGTCGGCATTCTTTGGTTCCTGTCAGGATGGCTCCAGTTGACCTCTGCTCTCATCACCACAGCTTCATCTCTATGAACACATTTAGCCCCTCTTTTTTTATTAGTAGCTAAAAAGTTTTGTTGGGTTGAAACCAAGCTGTGCAAAACGTGACATTATTTGCACTCGATCTCGCTTCCATCTCTGATTTTAGTTTAATTAGATCTTCATATTCTCTAGAATTTTCCGTCTCTTTTTTATGCTACAAAAATAAATTATTTCATTTGTGCAACGATTCCCTGCGCGACACTGGAGCATCTGAACAGGTGTGTCTGATCTGAGAGTCTGAAAGCAGCAGCCGCCTCCTTTCTGCGACCTCCCACCCGTCGGTCTGCTCCTTTCAGCTCGTAAACCTGCTTCAGGCGATGGTCGGTCCCCTCTGCGTGGTGATCAGCTTTATAATCAGGGTTTGAACGGGGAGACGGGGTCCGACAGCAGCTAAAGTCATAGTGTGTGGTTTAAAGCATCATAAGGCCGTCTCCTCCACTATGTGAGCCGTCAGCTGGCAGGAAGGCAGAGTCCTCTCCTCCTCTGTTTGTGATTTATCCTCTGCGGCGGCGTCCTCCCCGCAGAAAGCCGCCCCGTTGCTGTCCTTCTTTGCCATCTGATAAGGCGGAGTATGAATGTCTTTTGCCTGAAAAACAGAAGCATTAATGGAGGTGAAGAAAGCAATCAATTTCAGTTCAGTTTATTTCTATAGCGCCAATTCACAACACATGTCATCTCAAGGTTCATTCCAGTACACCAGATCATACAGTCAAATTGATTCAGTTTTCCATCTAGGGAAAACTAGTTGATTAAATTGACTCAATGAATCGAATGCAATCCCTCACTCTAAGCATGCTTGTAGCGACAGTGGAGAGGAAAAACTCCCTTTTAACAGGCTAACTTCCAGCAGATCCAGAAAGCAAAGTGAAGATGGAAACGCACAGCAGGAGGGTAATCATTGAGGTACCTTCATGGCCAGAGGAGTGATGCAGCACAGCTTCTCCTTGTAGCGCTCAGGCAGGAAGAAGAGGAGCGTCCCGAGGACGGGGAAAACCGTCCCTGGGGTCAGCTCCTTCTCCTTCATAGGTCCTTATGTGAACATAAAGACAGAAGCATTCAGCATCGTTAGCTAAGGACAGCAGAGAAACTACAGCTGGTGTTAAATAAAAAGATTTTAATGGTTAAAAATGGAAAATGTTCAGTTAATTTGACCTCTGAGCTAAATATGAATCCATATTTTCATCTTAGATAATAAAATAACATGGATTATCATTATTTATAATCATTTGATATTTTTGTATTAATTAATAAATCAATATTAATAAGATTTGATTATTATCTCATTAAAATCCTTACAGGACGTTTAGCATTAAATAATGTATTATTATCTGATAATAATAATAATAATAATAATAATAATGAATGCATTAATAATGAAAATATTTCATTATTGGCATTTTATTACAAAACTATCATCCAATACTAATAATTACATATGAATTATAAAGATATTTGATTATCTAATAATATAATACAATAAAAAATAATTCAATATCTAATAATAAATTATCTAATAAAAATTTCTTATAGGATTTTTTATGATTAAAAGATCTTTAAAGACCATTTGATGCTCCTACCTGTGAGCAGACTGACCAGCAGCCCCACCACCACCACGGTGGCTGAGTTGTGAGCGCTGTACCACATGTAGGACAGCGAGTAGAGAGCTTCCACTCCTGTTGGTCTGATGGAAAAAGCAGCAGAAACATTCGATTCATCCTTTTATTCTCAGACGTTTGGATCCAGTATCTCTAACCACAGCAGGAGATGAAAACAGAAGCAGGGCTCTGTTATGCCCTAATGGTGCGTTACCTGGGTTTGGCTGTGGGGCTGGTAACCATGGAGGCCAGAGCAGTGGAGGTCATGTTATCAAACAGCGGCAGAGCGGTGGTGTTCAGAGCGGGTCCTGCTGAGGAGCGGGACATTCGCATCACAAAGCTTCCGATCCCCACCCAGAAGGCCATGGCCAGGCCTGCCACTAACCCGACCACGGCACCCTGAGATCAGGACACATCACAGTGGAACAGGATGAAGGAGACGGCGCTTTACCTGAGCAGAGCGCTAAAGGATGCTAACAGTAAAGACTTACTTTAGGGTTGGCCCAAGGAAAGAAAATGCCCAGGCAGAAGAGTCCCAACAGGGGGCCGCCCACCATGCCAAAGATACTGAAGGCTGCCTGAGGACACAGCAGGGCGACGCCATCAAAGCTCGTCAGAGTGCAGATACACCATCTCATGTCAACGCCACCATCTACAGTAGCAGCCATTCAAAATGGCATTTCCCAGTCAAACGCTAGCTAATAGCTAGCTAATTTTGAATGAAAAGCTTAACGCGAATCACTGCTTTACAGGAATCCTTTTCTGCATTGGTGAATGCTCACCTCAGCATGCTGAACGCTCGCTGTTAACACTATTTTTTTTATATCACATAACCATCGGAACATTGATACTGCTATAGAAAACACAATTTTTTGATATTTCAACTTAACATTTACTTTGTAAATGAGCTTTTTAAATTTTTTCTTACCTCACTTCTCAATGTTTTCACCTATTAACCCTACCTCCATTAAATTAGAATTATTAGACTAGCCAGACTGTCAGCGCAAACAGCTTAGAACCAATCAGATCCTTTACAAATGTGAGAAAAAGACAATGGCTGTGTCCGAATGTCCACCCTAACCACTATATAATACGCCATTTTAAATGACTGTCCAAATGTCTATAGCAGAGGTCACGGATTAGTGGACCGCGGTCCGGATCCGGACCCACCTGCTGGCTAATCCGGACCCCATCTGATTTAAAACATTTAGAATTTACTGCTGTTGTCCGACGACATGGTCTAATTTCACTTGCGCTGCTTCTCCTGTTATTACGGTAAAGCCCTCCATAGCGTCCGGCACCAGGCTACACGTGATCCAAATTAGCCAATGAGCTGCTGTCAGTCTGGGTTGCTGCTGCTGCTACTTTTAGACACAGCAGGCAAACCTGTGGCAAGCCAGAGTCAGAGATAATATAACAATAATCTTACATGTCACAACCCCTTAAAAGACCAAAACTAATTTCAAAATTACCTTCAGTTAGATTACACATACTTATTCAGAATAAAAACTAAAGTGAACTCAAACTGGATGAGATATATGGAAAGTTATATATTTTGCAAATAAATATTAATATGATAAACACAAAGTTTTACATTAATATTAGATTATGTTTTACAAATATTATATATTTATGTAGTATTTTATTATTATTATTCTGTATTTTAAAGGACTGCTCTTTGATACTGCGTATTATGATCTATAGAGAAAAATCTGTTATAATATGATTTACAAAAGAGAGTAAAGTTATCATTTTGGTTTTTAAATTAATTTTTATTTATTTTTGTCATTGTCAAGACTTTTTTGACAAATCATAGTGAATATTAAATTTATGTTGTGTTTGACTAAAGGCTTTTTAGACTACAAAAGATGAGCAGATTTATCCTGAAAGGTGTTGCGAGAGCAATCCTTGCAAAGCCTTATGGGATTTTTTGTCACGGTGGCACGCTGTCAACTACGGCTGTCGCTACCCGACAGTGGCGACAAATAAAGATGGCGCAGGGACCGTGTGGTGTTGCGTAATCACGTAACCAGTTGGTAGTGATCATCTGTTTAAACGGTCAGTTAACCGAGTTGCTATACAGTCCTCTATATAGTTCCCGCTCTATATAGTAATTGGGGGGTTTAGGGGTTAGGGCGGACGTTTGGAAACAGCCAATGTTTTAAAAAATGTTTTCCCAGCAGCCAGTTATTGAAATTCTAAGATATTACCAGTTCATTCTGGGCAAGATACATTAATAAAGCATCTGTTTGTTGCAGCTGAAAAATTGATTAGAAAAGCGCTGCTGCATTATGGGTCCGCCTCGCGCTGTGATTGGTCCAATTTGTTCTAGACCGCAGACTATTGAGACTTTCTGGACTGAAGCAGTTATAGATTGTTCACTGTCCTCTACTATAAGCTTTACTAGACCCTGTGCAGCTAAGGAGGAGAACTGGAACAGTTACCTGCAGCACAGATCCCATTAAGGAGGCAATGTAGGCCATAGCCAGACACACCAGTCCATAGACCAAAGCTGGGAGGGAGAGGATGGACAACAGGTTAAAATGAATGGTAGCAAAAATCACTCCAAAGTCAAAGCAACTGCCTCAAAAACACGTCTTACCGAGTCCTTTGGACATAAGAGTGGCCTTTGATTCAGTCATGTTTGGAAAGTAAGGTTTTATCAGGTCCTCCATGGTTACCGTTGCTAAGGAGTTGAAAGCTGAGGAGATGGTGCTGGAGGGGGATAAAAAAAAAATAGAAAAAAAGATTGAGTGTTTGAAAGAACAAAGCTAGAGCTCTCAGGGCTGCTACTGAGATGACTTCAAGATTCACAGCCAGTTACAGACAAGAGACGCTTTCCTGGGCAGAGAAAAGGTTAAGCCCTCTCCCTCCCCCTCCTATATATATATATATATATATATATATATATATAAATAAACTGTAACTGGAGCATGAAACAAAAGTAATTTCCCTCTGGGATTATTAAAGTATTTCTGATTCTGAAACGTTTTCTGCGGCTCGTCTGTAGCCGTTTAACGGCTTCGCTGTATTTTTGTTGGTGTGACTTACCTGAGCGCTCCACTAAAGAGACAGGCCACAAACAGGCCAGGCAGGCCGGGCAGCTCCTTGAACACATCCATGACAAAGTACAGCACCATCTGCGCAGAGGGGCTCAGCGTCAACAGGCAGCAGCTCAGCTTCTAGGCTGATCCGATCTGAAGACGGCGGGGCTCACCTGGTCGGTGGTTTTGACGTAGCCTTTGACCAGAGGGCTGTCCTCTCCGTAGCGAGCAAACATGACCAGACCCATCAGACAGCCCATACACAGGACGATCTGCTGGCACGGGAAAACCACATAGCAGGACCTGAGAAGGTACAACGTGATTATTTTTTAATATTTTAAGAACAGGAGTAGTCAAAACCTGATATGAGGAACGGTTTATGCTCACATGACTGCTTCCTTCTCAGTGCGGGAGCTCAGGTACCTCTGGACCTGCGCCTGGTTGACGCCATACAGAGCCAACATGAGGAAGACTCCTCCAACACCCAACGTCCAGAAGGTGTGGCGCTCCAGAGGGTCTGGGTTCAGGCTACAGAGAAAGGAACACCTTTGTCCAATTAAATCTGGATAGAGTCATTATCTACCAGCGGGTCCGTTCGGTACTCACTCAAGCCCAGCAATGCGGCTGCCATTGGTGGCTTTTCTCCACACCTCAGCTATACCACCGGCCTGACCGGCTCCCACCACAATGACAGCCAGCTGCCCCGCAAACATCACCACGGTCTGGAACACATCGGTCCAGATGACTGCCTTCAGCCCGCCCTAATTGACGGGAGGACAGAACCAGGTGAGGAAGACCTCCTTTTCAAACACTGCTTTCGTTTTCAACCATTTTATGGGTTATTAAGGATATTAGAACTTACCAGAGCTGTATAGAGAGTACACACTAGTCCCATAGCCAACACTGCCCCCCACAGGTCAAAACCTGTCACTGCAAGTCGGAGAGGAAAGAAACCATGCACACAGTGAGGAGCAGCCTTTATGACGGCACAATGCAGAAGGGAGAACTCACTGTGATCTGGAAGAGCTAAAATCTGACAGGAAGTGGTTTCTAATATATTCACCTGCATTAAGAGCCAGAGCTGGAGCATAAAGCACTACCCCCATATAAATGACCTGCAGAGAGACACGACTGCAAGGTTAAAATCCATACATAGAAAAACACAAACAACAAAAAAACCTCCACCTGTTGATATCTGAGACTCAATAACTGTGTTGAATTTGTTTTCTTCTCAAACTGCAGCGCCTGGTCAAAGTATCCTCAGTTTTGATAGAGTTCATTTGTTCCCCTATTGTTGCAGCAAACAAAATATAAATTAAAATTATAAATCATTTTTAATCAAGAAAAGAAACTTTGAAAACCTTGTTTATTAAAAAAATGTTTAGAGAGAAACTTTGCTGTTTTCTAAGATTTATATTTAAATATCAGTTTATAATAATACTTTTTTCCTATTTCTGTTTTTCAGTTTGAGCTTTACAATTGCAAAATGTAGAAAACAGCAAAGTTCCTCTCAAAACCTGTTTTTAATTAAGATGTTTTTCAAGATTTAATTTCCAAATTATATTTCCTTCTAATTTCCAGTTACAATTAATTTTCATGCAACAACAACCTAACAAAATTCTCTCCATAAATTTTTCCATATTGGATAAGAACCACAAACTTCAGCATAATGTGTTTCTAAATGGGCAAAGAAGCACGTTTGATTTCCTCAGTAGTTTGGCATACATTTTTATCTTTTAACCCCAAACGTCAGTCAAAAGCGTCGACTTTCCCAGTGGTGGAATCAACACACTGCACAATGTTTAACTAAACTGTGTGAGGACGTTCACAGCTCTCCTTATGCCCACATACAGATCAGTGGTTAAAGCCAAACCAGTTTAAAAACAGATTCAGTGTCCACACAGTAACCAGGGGGGAGATGGCTATGGACGGACAGGGTAAACTCGTCCTGTGGCATCAAGTGTCTGAGGATTTAGGCATTTTCCCTGTATAGAGGTACGTTCAGGAATTAATTGCAGTGATGCTAACGACAAAAAGTAAGCAATCAGAGCAAAGCATATTGAACAAAGCGACATTTCAATGGAGTTTAGATGTGATTGTGAAGTAGGGCTAAGGAAAAATGCAGATCAGCACCAACATATCCAATATCATCATAGTAAACCAGTGGAGTCCCACAGGGGTGTGTGCTTAGCCCCATGCTCTTCACTCTGACGACCAATAACTGAACATCGTTGGACAGCTCCAACCTGATCACCAGGTTTGCTGATGACACTGTGATACTTAGTCTCAACAATAACGTGGATCAGACTTGGCCCAGTGGAGCAACCACCAGCAATCTCTCTGAATGTAGGGAAGGTGCAGGCAATTGCAGGGTTCTGACTGGGATTGCTTATTTGCTGTCAGGGCTGTGGTGTTTTCACTCTAGCCTGCAGGGCCATCAGGCTGTGATGCTCGACTGTCCATGTTCTCAATTCAATTTAGTTTATTTCTATAGCGCCAATTCACAACACATGTCATCTCATGCCACTTTCCAGTTCAACCAGATCATCCAGTCACATTGATTCTAAGTTTTCTATCTAAGGAAAACCAGTTGATTGCATCGACTCATTGACTCAAAGGCAATCCCTCACACGAAGCATGCTTGTAGCGACAGTGGAGAGGAAAAACTCCCTTTTAAGAGGAAGAAACCTCCAGCAGAACCAGGTTCAGTGTGAGCGGCCATCTGCTGAGGCCGACTGGGGTTCAAGGAGGCAGAAGCTGAGATACAAAAAGCAGCTGTAAAAGGCAGCCGGGCAGACGAGCTTTGAGCCAGCTGCATTGTCAGAGGATGAAGAGAGCATGAAGTTCTTTGGTCTTTATGATGCCGTTTGTTCACCAAACTGTCCAACGAGCCTCTGAGGCTGTTAAAGCACAGCCTGGGTAACTCTGCCGTACAGAGATGGACTCCTCTGGTGGTATAAGTAAAAATGTATGCCACAGTTTTGAGGAATTATGGATAATTTTGGGATGCTTTGTTTTGCCCTGTAACTTAAAAACCACAATAAAATGTATTAAAAATGGTGGCTGTAAAGTGGGTATACATTTGCTGGCGAGTCACTGTCTACAGATATTTAAGGATTTCTGCACAGTTATTCTGGGAAAGTTGAGTGAAAAAAACCACTGTTCACACATTTCAATGGATCATTTCAGTTGATTTTTCTTTGGACGGAACATCAAACTCATGTAAGCAGATGATAATGATGGTATAAAAATCATGAAGCAGACGCTCAAACCTAACATTTGCTGGAACAATGTTTCAATCAGACAAAATCAATTCAATCAGACGATTTAGCAGCAAAAACAAAAACACTGGAGATATGAAGCAGATCCAGATACCATCTGAAAGATGAAGGTCGCAGTCCCACATATGCGAACCGTCTTGTTAAAACGCAGTTCCAGATACTGTTGGGGAGAACGTAAAAGACAAACAGCTAAATGAAAATCCCGTTACATATCATCTCAGAGATATTCTAAGGAAGAGGGTCAGCGGAGTGGATCAGAACTGTCGTAAGAAGTTCTGATCAAAGATAAAAATGATTTTTGTCTTGAAAGGACACTATTGCAGTCATTCCCCAGTAAATGACTGATCAGAGAGAAAGATAAATGTCCTTCATAAACATTTAAGATGAGAACATGTACTTGTTCCAAAACGATCTATGCCAAGGCTGGGACAGATAAGAGAGATAAGAAGTTCAACTCTGAGATCATACTTGAGAAACATAAAACGTGAGAAAGGAAATGAGCGAAGCGGTCGGACAGCGTGCAAAAAACATTTAAAATAATCTAAAGAAACAAAACATGAATCTACATGTGATGAGTTAAAATAAAACCGCATGCATGCTAGGAGCTCAACACTGACAAAGATGAGATGTTATGTAGGTCTTAACGAGGAGAGAGCAGCGTATCTACAACCAAAATACTCACTACTCTTTTACAACAGCAGCATAACGTCACACTGAAACTTTAAGCAGCTAATTTAGCTTCATAAAGTTATCCAGTGGAAAAAAAAAACCTAGATTGAGCAAGAATTTAATCTAAACGAGACATATTGCCGTATGCTGGTGAAGATTCTCAGTCATCCAGGTCATAGTCATTCCAAAAAAGTAAAAAAAAAACAATCCACTTGACTTTCAAGTTTGAAGATATTTTGCTTCCCAACCAGGAATCTTTTTAAATTCAAAATGTCTGCATTAGAATTGAGTTCCAAGCTTTCTAGAGTAGCCCAATAAAGCCTGGTTATGGCATAACAATGCAGCACTAGTTTATAGCTGCTCCTGCACCCCATTGGCCATCCTAAAAACTTTCATACATTTTTCAACCAAATTATCAAAGTATCAAAGTATTTATTGAGACAGGCTTTTTGGCAGATCATTGTAATTACTGGTTATTTTAATGACTAGGAAAGCCGGACCCAAGTACTATCAATAAATATTAAATACAACTAGAGAATGTTAACTTTCTGTGCAAAAAAAGCCCCCTGCCTAAAAAAACCTTCTGGACACCCTGGCAGAAGGTTTTCCTGAACTAAGCCTCACTTCGTTTTCAGATAAGAGCTTCCTTTTAATTATAACTCAACTGGATCCACTTTGCTCCTCATTAACAGGCTTCCTCTCTGAAACGATCCGCGCTGCTCCAGGTTGATGCGGAGTCGGTGAACAGGAGCAGCACAGCACAAACTGATCATCAAATAATGGCTCCATATTAAAGGAGACTCCATTAGATAGTTGTTAGTTTTTGTCCAGGTGGTAAATAACTGTAAAAAGTTAAATAATTATGAAAACCCAACCTTTTTTTATTACCTTAGACTTAAACCCAATCTTGCAGAATTTTAGCTTCAATTTAAAGCATTTGTTTAGGAGAAAATGTGGCTGGACAAGCCTCATGTCAGTCCTTATCCCTGATGATTATGTCCTGTTTGCAGCCTTTAAGGTGGAATAGTAAGGTCTGAAAATGGGGTCGGGTAGCAGCTTCAGTATGGAGGCCCAGACATCCCTCTCTCCAGTCACTAGGTCCAGCTCCTCCGGGGGAACCCCAAGGTGCTCCCAGGTCAGCTGAGAAACATAGTCCCTCCAGGATGTCCTGGGTCTCCCCCTGGGTCTCCTCCCGGTGGGACATGCCTGAAACACCTCACCAGGAGGCATCCTAACCAGATGCGTGAGCCACCTCAACTGGCTCCTCTCGATGTGGAGGAGCAGCGGCTCTACTCTGAGTCCTCACTGGATGACTGAGCTCCTCACCCCATCTCTAAGGGAGAGCCCAGACACACTACGGAGAAAACTCATTTCAGCCGCTTGTATCCGGGATCTCGTTCTTTCAGTCATGACTCCAAGCTCATGACCATAGATGAGGGTAGGAACGTAGATGGACGGTAAACCGAGAGCGTTGCTTTTTGGCTCAGCTCTCTCTTCACCATAACAGAGCGGTACAGAGCCCGCTTCACAGCAGACGCCGCACCAATCCGCCTATCGATCTCCCGCTCCATCTTCCCCTCATTCATGAACAAGACCCCAAGATACTTAAATTCCTCCACTAGGGGCAGTACATCCTCCCCAAGGAACTCTACCCTTCTCCGGCTCAAGAACATGGTGTCAGATTTAGAAGCAAATGTTTATATAATAGGCCAAATGGATAAAAAATTTATTTTAATCAAATGTGGATTTTTATATAGTTTCCAGATTGAGATTATGCTGCTGCAGTAAAACAAATAGGTCAATTTTTTTTTTAAAAGCTTGATGTATGTTTTCTTCTGGTTGTGAATAAGCGTAGGGGTGGGGGGGTTGCAGGTACCTCGTAGGCGCTGGACAGACGCAGCCTGTAGAAGATCGGGATGAATATGTGGGCTGGGATTAGCAGACCCAAAAAGTAGGAGACGCCCAGGAACCAGTACTGCGTCCCAAAGGCGTAGACCTCAGACGGCGCGCCCAGGATGGCCACGGCGGACTGGAAGGTGGCCAGCAGGGACAGCGACACTGGGAGGCAGCTCATGGAGCGGTCAGCCATCAGGAACTCCTGAGGCAAACAGGATGCTGATGTAGGACCTTTAAGAAAAACATGATGCCCTGGAGAAAAAGGTAAATGTTTACCTGCGTCGTGCGCTGACGCCCGCCGGAGAAGGCATAGAAGAGGCCGATGCCGGCAGAGGCCACCAGCAGCAGAACGAAGATGACGTAGTCCACCGTGGTGAAGTGCATCTGGACCACCTCCCCCATGATGGGGCTGGAGTCAGCAGGTATGTACCAGCAGGGCTCCGATTATGATGCTGGAGAAAGCCGTTTACCCATGGCGGCGTTCACTGAGGGTCAGACAAACAGATAACGTCAGGATCCATCCAATGACATTGCAGGAATTCTTAACAGACGGTGCGATCCGGCAGTGCTAATGTGCTGCTGCTGTTCAGACCGTCTTTATGGACCCTGGATGTACACAGAGCAGGAGGTTTATGACTATTCTGTAACCAGTGGTTTCTGGGACACGGGGTCAATCTTTAGCAGCTAGGAGCAACGGTTAAACTTTGAGCTATGCCCTGACTTTAACAGCCACAGGTTATGAAGGCAGGGAGAGAACATAAAACCACCTGAGAAACGGTGGAACGGCACTTTGTTATCCGCCACCATCTGTGGCCCTCCTGACTTTATTACAGGAAACTCCTGTAGATCATGAAGCGTTAGGATGTCGGAGCACGTTTTGGTCGGAGAGCAGGTCCCATCAGGTCAAAGCAGCGGTGAAGCAGGGTGGGAATGTGGAACTGGAGAAAACGTAGGATTTACCTCACCGAGTTCACAGCCGACTGAAGCCGCTGAGATGAACATGAGTTCCTCCAAGTTGGAGGCAATTGGTCATATTTCCTCTTTAGGTTGGAGGAGAGCTCCTGTCTCAAGGGGTAACATTTAAGTCTCTACAGTAGCAGCCATTAAAAATGTCCCCACTTTCTTTAATGGGCCTTTGGCTAGTCCCCTACAATTCCTTTTTAAACATCTAAAATATTCTGTCATGATTTTTAGACATTAAGATCTAAAGAGAAGCGTCATCTCCTGGTCAGACCCTGTAATTCAGTGAAAGGGTGGAGTTGGAGTAAAAAAGATGCATGCCAATGAGAGGGCCAGTGGCTGGAAGTTGGAGGGGATTGTGCTGCCATTCGGCTGGCTTTTGACAGGAAAGTAGGGATGCACGATATTGGGATTTTGGCCGATATCCGATATGCCGATATGTTAAAACTCATGTAGCCGATAACCGATATCGATACCGATGTTAAAGCTGGACAAAAATAAGTAGTAATTGAAAATAGCAGTTTTGTTATCCATTTCTGACACTTTGAAAAATAATATACTCAAATATATTTTCATATGCTGATATCAAATTGATTTTTAAAAACGCGGTATCGATCTATTTTACTTTCAAAATCTCGTGAAATTTCATTGTTCCGTTTCAAACTCTCGTGATATTTTGCAAATTCTTGTGAGATTTTGTTAGTAAAATAGATCGTTACCGTGTCAATATATCAACATATAAAAATATGGCAAAATTTCGTGAATTTTCGGGGGATTTTGTAGCATAACGATGACATATAGCAATATTTCATTAGTAAAAGAGATTGATATGGCGTTTTTAAATGGCAATATATCAGCATATGAAGATATTGGGATATTTTAATGTATCAATATTTTTTTCCTCGTCTTTAGAAGTTTTTAAGTCTGTAAAAAATAAGTTTTTGAGGAAGAAGAAGAAGTATTTTTTTAGACTTTAGAAACTCAGAAGCTGATCAAATATCGGGTTAAATATCGGTGGGGTTGCCGATGTCCGATATTCAGTTTTAAGGCCGATACAGGCCGATACCGATAGGGGGCCGATTATATCGTGCATCCCTACTGGAAAGGGCAATTTTGAATGTCTGCTACTGTAGGTGTCTTGCTCATGAGTGAGGGAGGAATGGGGTGAGATCAGTGAGGCTGCTGCTCCGATGTGAACGCTGCACTGGTCTGCTGTGGTGAAAATGGAGCTGAGTGACAAGGCAAAGCTCTAGATTTACCGGTTGGTCTACATTCCTACCCTCATCTATTATCATCACATCTGGATAATGACTAAAAGGATGAGATCTCACACTGCAAAAAAAATGAAATCTAACTAATTCTTTTTTTTTTTTTATTGAGGAGAAAAGTGAGACTCATTGCCAATGGAACATGACAATTTGCTTTAAAAATAAGAGAAAACAATGGCATCATCTTATTCCAAGTGCATATTATATAATTATCTTATTTTAACAGTAAAAATACTAATTTCATTGGCAAATAATCTTATTTACCTGCACAAATTGAGGCTATATACACTTAATTTACATTTTTTAAACTTATTTTCTAGATTGTTTTTGCAGTGCAGATACAAGCAGCTCAAATGTCCCCAATAAGTAGAAACCAACCAGTAGCAGAATGAAAAAAGAAAGATGGGGCTGTTTTTAATTAGGTTAAAGAGGCTTAAAGTTCATGTTTTAAGCCCAAACATCAGCTGCTTGAATCCATTGATCATAACATTGATCATCCAGACAGGAAATGGTTCGAGCAAACTGGGAAACCATGAATCATGTTGATCCTCATGTTGCCTGAGCCAAAGCAGGGGTGAAATATCTGACACCTGTTATTGCAGTTAATTAATTAATGATTTGATGGCTAAATAGCAGATTTTCTTTTATTTCATCTAAGGATTTATTGATATTTACAGACATAGAAGCTGCTTTTTTATTCTTAAATAAAAAAAAAGTATATTACTTTGTACAATTTTGGCTAAACTGCTGTGGAGAAGTCCGCTCACATTCAGAATTCAAACTTTTGAAGTACTTTAAATATGAAATGATTACATACTGATCAATAAATGTGTGTTTTTTTAATTCAGGGTAATTTTAATGTGAATGTGCTTTACTGGAGGCATCCATGTTTGTCAAAGAACACTACTGCCACCTACTGGTTTGTGATGTCACGGTGCGGTATCGGCTGTTGATCAAGTCCCAGTGCTGTATCTGGTGTTTGTCACAACGCGCTATTATCCAAGTCATCTTGAAAACATTCTTCTTCCAAATGTTGGCTACATATTACCTGTTTTTTCCTCTGGCCAGAAGTTTGATGGCAAATCCTCCCTCTTCAAGTTGGCGATCCAACGACCAACCCGTCCGTGGAGGATCAGGAATCAGAAAGGTGAAATAACTCATTTTTTCTTTCACTTTTAATAGATGTATTCCAGCATCCAGCTGCCATGCACGTGGGCATTGTCAGTTTCACTATAGCTCTGGTGAATTTCAATGGTGAAGTCCTCTGGAATTCTTCAATAATTGTTGTTGATTGCAGATGTGTCTAGTAGTTCCCATTGATTTTGCTTGTAAAGCGGGGAGAATGGCGCTAGGCTTACCGCACCGTGACGTCACTGCTGGAAGATGGCAGGAGGGAGTGGTTACTATATTTGGGCAAAAATGGCCGCTCCCAGACTCAGTGATCGCAATGACATTTATTTTTATTGATTAACACTAAATTCATTAAATTACTGCGAAGGGATTTGTTTTATGTATAAATAATGATCCACTAACTATCCTTTGGTGACCGGACTTTTCCTTTAATGTCTGAAGATACCAGTTAACAATAATTATATTAGTGAATTATTTAGATTAATTCTTTCAGTCCTCAGCACAAGGAATAGAAAAAGTCCCTCTCTCATTGCATAAAAATAGATTTCAGTGGAAAATAAAAGACAAACCTCTGGTTAGGAAACAGTGGCTCATTGCTGGCCTCCCTATTAACTCTCACTAATAGCACTAAACTTCTGCATGATATTAAAAGCAGAGTATGGAAAAAAACAAAACAAATCTGTATAAATAGCATACAGAGTAGAGCTTCACTGCAGCTGGACCAACATCATACATCAGAGTGAAGTGAAACAGAAAGCAGTTTTTCCTTAAATTAATTTTCTTCTTTTACTAAAGTACAGCTGCATTTTGGAGGCCGCTAACTAAAAATTCATAAACCCACAAACACGATTAGGTATTTTAGGATGCGGCAGACTAAGTAAAGGAGGGAGCAGAGAGCAGCTGCTGCTGGTTTTGAACGCCCACAGCTGTAAAGCTGGAGTTAGAAGAATCTATCTGGTCAGCTTTGATCAAACATCACCGTTATAGAATAAATGGCTGACAGCCTTAAAAATCTGCTTCAGGCTTCTTTTAGGTGGGATTATTGTAACGCAAAACATTATCCTTCTATGTGTGGAAATAAGAGACTTCATAAATAAACTCTGCCCTTTGGTCAGGTGATCTCTGCGGTCAACAATGAGGACGGGTCGTTTTTCCCTCCATGCTGGGCTCTGGATCCCAGATCCAACATGGATCAAAGGGTTCCTTTCACAACTTGTTCTTCTCACCAAGTTTTACTGAAACAGAGCAGCTGCCTGCAGAGAGGACGGTTCAAGGCTTAGAGCGGGCAGAGAGCAGAGGAGACCGTTACCTACCTACCTCATCTTCAGTCATCAGCTTAGGAAAAACAAAATCTGTTTCTAAATCATTTCCGTTTTCTTAAAACCCATTTAAACCCCCATCTGCACCATTGATCATATATGAACATTTACATTTTAAAACGGATGCAATTATCCCAGAGCAGCTGATAATAAGTAGTTTACCGTTAATTTCATCAAGGAATAAATTTACACCCAGGGGGATTTCTAAATACACGTTGATAAAATAAAAAAAATTAATGTATTTCCATCTCTAGACTAAAGCAAAATGCTTCCTATTGTCCAGCTCCATTCATGAAGGATGCATAAATAACTAGGTGTTCATAAGGTTCTGACGTTTTTTGGTTTTTAAACACTTTGCCAATGGACTAAGTTTTTTTACTCTTAAAATAAGATAATACTTACTTGAAATAACAGACTGCAGACGTTTTTTCTTATTTTAAATGTAAATTGTCTTGTTCCATTGGCAAAGAGTCTCACTTACCTCCTGTTATTAATAGTCTCTAAATAATAAATTCTTTTTTCATTTAGTGGGGGAATAATAATGAACTTGGACAGATAAACACAAATCAAATGAATATTTTGCCAAATAAAACAAAAACCTTGTAGAAATAAGTAAACATTTCTTAAATTAAGTGTATTTAGCCTTAATTTAAACAGGTAAATAAGATAATTTGCCAATGGACTAAGTTTTTTTACTCTTAAAATAAGATAATTAGATAATACTTACTTGAAATAACGGAACAAGACAATTTACATTTAAAATAAGAAAAAACGTCTGCAGTCTATTGCCAAAGAGTCTCACTTATC